ACAAAATTTTTCAAAAGCGAACTGTTTTCTTGTTTATCGAAAAATGATCACGTGATCAACTAATGCAAAAGGCGTATTGAGTCGTTCATGTTCGAAATCTTAATCTATGACCATACCGCGTTGGCAGGTGAAAGCTCAGAAAAAATTCCGTGGTTTTGTGCTGCTGTACTAGCCAAAAATGCAAATATAATTATCCTAGCAGTGCATTTTTGGAAATTAGTGGAAACCAGTATGCTCGTAGTGACGAATAATGCCAAAACTTCTGATAGCACAATTTATCGAAGCCAGGAGCAGCATAGCCTACACTCATCCTCGGAGACCCAGGGACAGATAGTGGGGGCGAGGGAAATTCCGTCCGTTTAGACTTTCCCTCGCCCCCACTATCTGCCCCTAGGTCTCCGAGGATGGCCTACACTGTACAACGTCTTGATCATGTTGATGCAGGATTTCATGCAGCAGAACCCCCAAGGAAGAGGAAAACATCCGCGCCCCAGCGCCCCAGGGGACCTCGTTTTAAAGCGCAAAGACTGATGGGAAAGTTGCGAAGGGAAACCCGCCAAACTCTCAAGAGGCCTAGTTATTTGTAGCAGGGCTTCTTGGTGGATGTTGTGGCGATTGCACACCATGCGTCTTAGCCTCTGTTGATATTTTCTGCGGTAGAATAGTAAGTATTTGTCATTTCTTGCTTTGCTTGCATGTAGATGGTTTGGAAATTTGTTAGCACATTATGCCTTAGCCATTTCTTTGCTATGCACAGGTAGTTGAATGAATCACTAATGTCCATGTGCTTTCCCAGATCGAGCTAAGAAATGTTGCATCGTTTGAAGGGATAAAAGGTCGTTACGGGACCACTTCGGTGCCCTTTATTGTAATGCTGTATTTAGAAAATTAGTGCTCCAGCTCCACAAGCGTTTGATCCCTATTTTCATGTTAACTTAAATAAGCTTAGTTTTTGCCGGTCTTTTCTTTTAAATATTTTTAAAAAATTTGCTCGTGACGTTACCTCGTGACGATCGATCAAAAATTGTGAAATGTTTTTAAAAAAACGTTTACGTTTACATCTAATTTAGTTCCTTCTAATTTTTCAAAGTTTCTGTAACACATTAATTTAAAAACGTTGTTAGCCGATTATAACTTACGACTCATGCTATGAGATACAATGAAGCTTGTAATTGAAACAAAAGACACTGTAATTCATTACGACGATATTTACCCTGCGGTCGTTTCGCTTGAGTAAAAAATTTAGACAAGAGACATCCACCATGGACCTCATATTGCATCCAGACCAAATAGACAGTTTTATTGACTCGTATGTTGGGCCCTTTACTTGAATAAGTTATTGTTTTCAACATTCTAAGCTTACGTGTGTTTCTTTAGCGTTGAAAGCCTCCTCTATCCAGATTAAACTGGGCGTGATAAAAAAAAGTTAAAATGGTCACACTAAATCGTTTTGGCGGAGCAAGCCCTTAAATTAATGCGGAAGAAATAGGAAAAAGCAATCGCTCCACAGTTTGCTACTGACTTAATAATACAGTAATCATTTGAAAAAAATTATTAAAAATAATGTTGATTACAAAGACCTATTGTTCTCAGATAAGGTGGAAGATAACCCAGGGTAATGTAGTTTTTCAAAAATTTTGAAACCACACATAACTTTCCTTCACCAGTCAAACTCTGTAATATTTTAACTAGTAATAGTTGACACTACAGATGCCCCTGCTCTATGTAATGTCGGTCAATAGTATTCTTGGTCGTTGTGTAGCTCTTTGAGATATGACGATTCTTATTTTTATTTTCACACATATTTCTTACGATAGGTGAGGTAAAAACAGGAAACGCAAGGTTCCATGCACTGATTCAGTTCAATTTGCACAGCTTTGATCAAAACATTCTCAGTTTTGAGAATAGCTTATTCTAAACCATAAGAAAAGATTTAGTTAGAAGTTGGGATTTTTTTCTAAATTCTCTTTCACTTTTTTTATACAGTTCATTTTAATTGCTGAAAAGTAGGCCTTAGAAATTCAAAGGTTTGATCTATTCATTCTCGCACGTTCTAGTCTTTTTTTTTACTATTAAGACAATACTTTAAAATTTTTTTTTACGGAAGGAGATCTCTGGGCAGGGAATAAGTCGGCACAGAATTTAATTGTCGGCAAATTAATGTAATCGACCATCATTCTGCTGGTGATAAGTTAGTATTTGATTCACTTGTCTTGCTTGTTTGTGGACTGAGTCTTATTCCCCCAAAACTGAGAGAAAGAGTGTCTTGTCAATCGTTTCCAATCAAAGATATGAGAATGATAAACTCATGTCTGGTAAACTCTCCAAGTGTTTATTACATGTACACAGTTATATGCACCTTATAACTTCATCTGTGCGTAATGAGTGTGGAATTGACTGATGCGTTAATTTTTCAAGCACTCGATAATTCAAACCAATTTTCTTTTTCTAAATTGGTTTGAAAAATCGGCTTCATGGGCTATTGACTCAGAGGCCATGAGGGCGAGAGGAATAATTGTTTTAGAAAAATCCAACTAGTTCGTCAAAAATATAGAGAGTAAAAAAATTTTAGCTAGTTAAAAGCTACATGTAGATTTTAATCCTTTTTTGCCGCCAAAAAGCCCGCGCTTTTCGCTACTTGGGGGCTATAACATATAGCCAAGTAGCCGCTCAACCAATCAGAACACAGCATTGATAATAGACCACTAGTTGAATTATTTTTACTAAAGTAAAGTAAAGTATTTAGATGAATATTAAAGTCAGAGTTGCGGTATTGTTGTTGTTGTTTATTTTTTGTCCATCAATTTTAAACCAAATCTTGATGATTTTTGTTAAGTTCCTATCTGGTACATAGAGCTTTGTGATAAAATAACAGTTGTAAGTCAGTGTGCTTGTGTTGCCACCAGCATTAGTTAATTTTAAAAGTGAAAATTGAATGATTATGTAAAGTATTCGTTAATCACGGAAATTTCCAACATTCCTTAAATTTGGTTCTGAGTGTACTGTAAGTGTTGCTGATGATGACTTTTCCCTATTTTGTAGGTGAGGTATTAGCAGAAAACTTCCAAACTTTAGAAATGGCACTAGCTTCACCATCACAAAGTGCACCAGATGTACAAAGAGTCCTCTTGAGGCGGCCTTCACAAAGCTCATCTCCGTCTCTCGTCACACCAGAGGTCCAGGCAGTTGATTTTTGTCGTAGTAAACCCAAATTAGTCGAACTTGAAAACATGCTGTTTTCTCTAGCCAATGGCAGTGTTAGTTTACAAGAGGCAAAAGACAGCTGCTTATCCTTGTTATGTGACAGCATTAACACAAAGGAAATCTTTAATGTTTTTTGCTGCTGTAGTTGGACAGACCGATACAGAGATCCTACTATCTCTCAGCTTTTTTATGAACTAGTAAATATCCAGCAAGATAGCAGTGATTATACACTATTGCTGAATGAACTAGAGATTGCATGTGAAGAGTTGCTGAAAGTATTAACTCATCTTGGAACTCCAAACACTTTGCAATTAAACATTGTTTCTCTCTTGCATAATCTAAGTAGATTGGATGATCTCCCACAATCACATCTGGAGGCTGTGCAGAGTTACCTAGAGGAGATTGCGAGGGCCTTGTGGCCCTACAGCAGACCTTCTGCCCCTGATTTGTGGATGAGTGAGGCCTTTTGTGACGCTCAGTGTGATGTCCTTAAAGCTTGTGGTACATTTCTTGAAGCTAAGTGCCCAGTAAATACAGAAAAAACATTCCAGAAGATCAGTGCCAAGCTGATTTCTAGTGAACTCTCGCAGTATTCCAGGTTTCGATTGCTTGAAATTCAGGAGCTGCGATCTTTTGGCTGGAAACTTCCTGTGGCAGCAGTGAATTATTACAATGCCACATATCAAAAGGTACATTGCAAGAATGATTTATAATGGTAATAGGACTGAGTTGAGTCCAGTTGGGTCTGTTATCATGGAGTTGATCGACAGATCACGAGTACAGTATGATTACAGACTGAATTGGATGACACAAAGCTCTGTTACCAATTAATCATAACTATAACAAAATTTGTGATATTTTAGGCTTCTTTTTGAAGTCAAAACACAAGAAATTCTAAGAGTTTTTTTTTGCTAGCAGTGAAATATAAAAGCCATTGAAGTGTGTACATGTGATGGCATGTACTGTCCGGGTACTAAGACATGACGTGTACTGTCCTATTACACTGTCCTATTAGTGCTGAAATCAGCAAGTTGATAGCCTATCTGATTTGAGAATTAAAGTCATATAGTGACGATTATTAACATTATTGTACAACTGTATCTACTAGTCTTATTTAAGGATGACTTGTGGTAAGGCTGTTTTAGTGCTGTGCTGGTTCTTGTGATATTTTCTATTAATATTCTTGTAGCATTTTGATAGAATATCAAGCATTATTTGATCAAAACACTCTTCATAATTTTTAGTCCAAAAAATACCATGCTTATTAATGTGTGAATTTTATCCAAATCTTGTACACATGTAAAGTCAACTCTCACCCTAGGGACACTTCATTATTACAGATACCCTGATTATAAGAGGCACGGCACCTTGCAGCTATACCAAGATCTCACAATATTGGTGAGGAAAACGATGAAGGAACAAAGTTCACAATGTAACCTCGACACAAAACAAAAGACCTGCAACATATAGGGGTCCACTGAAATTAGAGGTTTTGTCCTTTTGTCTGTCATTTGTAAACAATAGCGAAAACAATGAATCTACTCGATCGACCAATTAGCGCTTCCGACTGGATTCCAGACAAATTTTGCGTCATCAGTATGGAATTTCTCTCCCTGAGTTGCAGACGTTCCTCCTCGTGAAACGTTCCTCATTGGTGATGAGCGAGTAGAAACGTCTGCCGTTCGCAGGCTACCTACAAGGTAGTCATAAGAAATTTGTACCAGCAGTATCCAACCATGGTTTATTTTGTCTTGAACAGCTGAGGAACCAACCTAGAGGGAACCAAACAATCAGTAATTCTACAGGACCTTTAAAGAATGGTTTGAAAAGGATTAATTCCATGGAGGAAAAGAAAAGCCAAAATACCAGCAAACCAGTGACTGTGCTGAGAATAAAAGAGAGTGATCTAAGAATGTCATTTCAAAACTTGCGTGAAGACTTTGCTCCAAGAGAAGAAGTTGTTAAAGAGCCACATGTTTTGGTAGATCACAACCGGTGTTCATCCATTAGTGATGAAAAATTGCCAGTGTCGACCCAAAAGAGAGTATCTGTTGGTTTTGGCGATGAGAGCTTCAGGACCACTCCTGTCAATAAGACCTTGAGTGACTCAAACCTTTGCCAAATGGATCTGATTACTAAAAAGCTTCAAAGTGAGAAACTTTCTTCACCTCCATGCAGTGCAGTAGATACTAAATTAAGAGCCCCTTTTGAGGATATATCCAGCGTTGGAAGACAACAGGATATGAATGTAGGTGCTGAAACAAATCCTTCGACCCCACTTTCTTATCTTTCCACAGGGCATGTTGTGGAACGCGCGTCATCTCCATGCAGCAGTGATGGCAGTGATGATGTTTTTACTGGCACAGTTGGAAGGGACAAAATCATTCCGGCAATTCGTAGAGGTGACTTCAAAAAAGCACGGCGACCCTTCAAGAGTGACTCTTCATTGCCCTCAACTACTAAAAGTCTGGAGAATTATTTGGATTCCAAAAAAAGTAACTGGAAGGTTGAACCTACAGTGTGCAGTCAAACAATTGAGTTGGTGACATATGATGCAAAAGATCAGCTAAAAAGTGACTCCTGCTCATTTCAGGTTGCCGATGGTGTATCTGATAATAATTCAAACAGCCCGATTGTTGCTGAAGTGGATCATGGCACCAATACATGTAGAACCTCAAGTGAATGGGAAGTTGGAGAGGGATCAAAAGTTAATGCTAATGAAGAGAGTACAGAAAGAGTAAGCTTGCACAAAACTGCTGATAAAGGTGACCCTAGCACCCACCACACTACACAAGAATGGACAGCTCTAAAAGCATCAATTGGTGATGAAACACTTGAAGGTGCCAAAGGTGTTAGCTTACATAATGAAGCAGACAGCTGGAGAGAAAGACCATCAGAGGATAAGACACAACTACAAAACACAACTAACGTCAATGATACATGTACATCCAAAGAAAATTGGAGAGAGAGTTGTAGAAAGGTTTCAAGTTCAGCAGACTTTTGGGGAAGTGGCTCAGGTAACGAGAACTGGCGTTTTAATAAATCAGTGAGTGTTGATGAGACAACAAAGGATACAACCCCTTCATCAAGTGAGCATTCTAAAAGATACAGCATTGGTGACATTAAGTTTGAACGTCAGGATTCAGATGAGAAAGGTTTGTTGATTTAGAAAGAAAGTGTACTTTTACTGCACTTACATGTACAGTGTATGTACAGTCATTTATTTATTCATTAACTTCCTCAGCCACAACCTTCTCTGCTCAGTGGACCTGCACCTTGTTATTTAATCATTAAGTTCATTGTTTGGGTCTTGCTGACACAGCTCCTTTTTTGTTGAGACAAAGATACAGTCCAGCCCCTTGTAAGCAACCACCCAAAATGCAAAGACTGAGTGGTCGCTTATGGGAGGTGCCCGTTTATTAGAATCGAACCACGTGGCGCCTCTTCTGAGAGTAGGCGCAAGCACATGTACTTGTGTAGTGACGGTGCCACTAGTCTGGTCTTAATTTTATTATTAAATACCTGCTCATGTTCTGTAGAGTCAACGAATACCAGGTCCATCAATTAAAGGTGAAAAAAACTCTTTGTGCTCACCTTTGCTACTGAACCGGTTAAAAAAAACGTACAGTAAAATCAGTACTTTTAAGTCTGAAAGATAAGAGGGAGTTGAATCATTTTTTAATTCAAGCAGTGCAACCCAAGTTTGAAATAAACATCAAAGGGATATAGTTGAAAAAAAAGATTAGGTGTATGGTACTGGTACCCTACATGTAGCTACTCTGTACTGTCAGATTCTCAGTATACATGTACAATATGTGTGTATGATTACAGTGTAGGTCAAAATGAAACTCAGGTTTAAAAATTGTTTCATTCTCAATTTCCTTGTCCCCCAGCCCTAACTTTTCATTATCATGAATAGCAAGGGTTGAGAAACAAAGAAAACTGAGAATAAGACCAGCCTAAGGGTGAGATTGTGAAAGCCTGAAATTACTTGCTATACTCAATTGTGAAGCCGCCTATGTTTACATCCTAGCTGTCTACTTTAAATCTCCATGACAACCTTGTGTAGATACAGTATCTGTTTTTCTTTTTATATAGTTAAAAGAACCAGAGGAGGGTTTGGGCTTCCCACACAGGCTACCCATGATAGCAAGGAAACTTTAAGGTAATTATATCACTCTCCAGAGGGCTCAAAACCGAGCCAAAGTGAAATTGTTTTGTGTGGTTGGCTTAGAGAACGAGGAATATTCATAATAACTATTAACGCGTTTCTGCTTGGTTGTACACTGTAGAAGCAAACTTGTTTTGCATTAATGGCTTATAGGATGAAGAATTCTCATGACATGTTTGTATTTCGACCTCGCTTGTTTTATTCACCAATGGAACCATTGGAATGACATCCTTTACTATTGGTACCAATAGTACTATTAGTACCAATGGACCATCGGAATTGCCCTGTACCCAGCCAGGTCACATGGGAAAACAATCTAAGTCCCCTTCATGTGATGCATATTAACCAACAGAACCATTGGAATGATATTGTTTTCTGTTGGCACCAAACCTACCATTGGTACCAATGGACCATCAGTTTGACGAATCGTATCCATTTGTGTTTATTGGACATGTGTGAAGGTTAATTTCTTTATTTTTGCCATTGTAGTGAGGAAAATCTTGTGGCATCTGAATCAGAACTTCTTGAAATTCAAATTAGTGAAGAGGAAAACCAAGGTGGGTTATTTGATACACTGTACATCTGTCAGATGCCCTGTCTGATGCAACTTTACTACAAATAAATTGTTTTAAAATAATTTTTGTTTGTTTTTCTATACTTGAGTATCAGAACAAAGAGATCATATTATTTTTTTCTCTCTCAGCTCTTCACTGGAGGAAAGTTAAAGATATCCAGGTATTTTTATTCTTCCTCAAAGTATACGCTGTTTTTTGTTACAAAATTCTAACACAAAATCAGTGATGATACATGTCTCCCTTACTGTGAGTTAGCAACTGTGTCGAAAAGTGGAAGTTGGGTGGCTGAGGTATCCAGGAGCTTCTACTAATGGGAGCCAGCTCCAAGGAGGAGAGCATTCCCATGGCTGGCAAATCCTGGCAACCTAGCCATAAGCCCCCAAGCACAAGGGAAGAAAGCAGGCACCGTCTCGCACTGAGCAAGTCACTGTAAAGAGGGAAGGGACCGAGGGGGGAGGGTGGCTATTAACTGAGTCCCTATGATTGAGATGCCAAGGCTGAGTAAATGCTTGCTAAAAACTGCCCAAACACGGCAAAATGCGAGAACGCTAAAAATAATCACAAGGTAGAAGAAAAATGCACTGGAAACTACTAATAACTTGCTAGACATGCCAGAATACAGAAAATGCACTAGAAAGTGCTACAACACACACAAGAGCAAGAGCACATGGGATACTGGTTCATTCGCATCTCACAACACCTTTGGCCAGCAAGATGAGACTAGTGTTCCTTGTTGTTAACTCTGTTAAATTACATTTAACTGCATTATATAACGTTTACAATCAAACTAAGCCAAGTAAAGTAGCCATCTTGATTTTAAAAGAATTCAGGTTGATCACTAGTACTGTACATGTATAACCCTGTCCATTGCAATGAATGTGTAGAACGCTTAATCAAGCCCACTGGGAAACCAAGCCAACTACAAGGCAGTGCTGTTATCTGATACAAATAATTCATTTTACTGTTGTGGTCAGTTGAAACCCACATAAATTAAAATTTTCCAAGAAAGGTGCTTAACTAAATTTCTTGTTTGAAGATTGACACAGGTTGTAGGATATTTCACAACAGAGAGAAATGTACAGTGGAGATTAGAGGTGACCCTGAACAGTGCAAGGTACTAATAAATTTAAGCAGTGTATAGTGACTACACAGAAATGTGTCTAGATTTAGTTTTGCAACACTTTAAGCAAATTGGCAGGTACATGTAAGGCCTACACAACAGCCAGGTGCTGCCTGTAGAAAGGTACTGAGGGTTGGGGGTGAGTGTATTCTCACCTTAAGCAGCCACAATGATGACAGAATCAAGAAGGTCAAGAACAGTTGGTTTTATAACCAAAACAACAACTTTGCACTTGCATCTCATGTTTTGGTACATTTCTTTGAAATCCGTTGCATGTCTATGATGTGCCTAATGCTTTCTGCTGTGTCATTGGCAAGGAAATGTGGAGACTGTATGTATCACCAAGCGTTTTTGTGAAAATGCTGCCAGATGCTTACTGCAGAGTAATTGTCCAACAGGTTTCTAGCTTTTGGATTGGCTCTATCATCATCATGAACTGTTTTCCTTACATTCCTTGTGCTGTCAATAAGCAGAATAGGTATATAAACAGTGACTTTTTTGGTGACTGCTTCCTCCATTCTCATGACGTCAATGTTTGATAAGGCTGGGATATTTGTAGAACAATCAAATTTAGCTGTTGGCCACTTTCAAGTTTCATCACTCATCTTGCAACTTTGTTGCTTTCGCTCACTTTGCAAGTATCCCTTGCGCCTTCAGCGCAAACGCAGTCGACTTGTGGCGAGTCTAAAGAACTCATTACTCGTTAGTTACTTTTTGGAATTGCAAATACTTCTCCCCTTAAGTTCTTTGCAATTTACAATGTGGGCAAGAAGGTTAAAAAGTGATAATGGGAAAAAAGAATGTGTTGAACAAAGGTACAGAAATCTGACCAATGTGAAACTGATATTGTCTGTTTTATCTCCTTTAGGTTGCCAAGAAGAGGGTGTACAGTGTTGTAGCTGCACTTCAAGAAGAGTTTGTAAGTTAAATAACGACCAAAGAACATGTTACTTTATTGAAGTTTCAGGGCTGTAAATTCATCTTTTCAGAAAGGAAAAATGCCTCACCAAGTTACTATTTCAGTCAGACAAACTAGAAAAGTTGTCAGGCATACACCTGTACATTATCAGTTCAGTCATGCCCCACTGAAGGATAAATTCTGCCACACGTCAGTATATTTTAGTCAGACATGGTCAGACGATCGACTTTGAGTCTACTGCAGTGTATATTGCGGACTACAAAATGTTTTTTTCTACTCAGACAAGTACATTCTTTAATGTTCTCAGTGGCTATATGAAAACTAAATGAATCGTACAAAGGATGATTAACTTGACATCAAGCTACATGTAGGGTTGATTTTTAATCAGACTATTATTGATAACCGGAATTTAATTCCAAGTTGTGGTTTTAGAAACATAACCTTGTGATAGTGCTTACTGGTTTTTTGGGTAGTATATATACACTGATAAATGTCCAAATAAATTACGATAAATAATCGCTACTAATGCAGTCAGTAAAGGTTTTCATATTTTGTTTTCCACCAGGGCGCTCTTGTTCCACTGTCAGAAGAAATTCTTGAACATCTTCAAACAGAAGGTCGCAGTTTGCTAGCTGAAAGACTGGCCCTTTGCTCAGGAGCTAATGTCAAGATGATAAGCGGTAATTTTCTTTAGCTTTTATGGTACTTTGTTTCTGTGATGCTTTGTAGCTGGTATAAAAGGGGAGGGGAGGGGAGGGTTAAAAGCCAGTGGAGATTCCCCTCCAACCCTGTCCTGTATACTGAATGTGGTGTAGCAAGAAGGGGGGGAATCATTTCTTTTATTTTGCTTGTTCTTGTAATCTATGTGGGATTGTGTTTTATGGAAATGCAAGTAACTCGAGGGATTATGCTTGTAGAGTACGAGACGTATAGCGTTGTGTGATAAACATAGGGTGTCCAACCTGATTGTAAGATATCCATTCTAGTCATAACTTTACCCATTTCTTAGAAAGTAAGACCGTTTACGTTTTAACCCCAAGATCAACATTTGAATTCTCATTTGTTGCCCCAATCCATTTCCTACAGAATTAGTGGGGAGAAGATGATAAAATATCAAGCAAATTCATCATGTGTGCTCATGTTCGTAATACTCATGACCACTCTATTTTCCAAAGCATTGATATTACAAGGAGAAATTTGATGCTGATCACTCCTAGGGCTTAAGGGGTTAAGGGTGCACACATGTACCTGCACTTCACCTGAATTACAATAAACAACCACTTACATACTGTAGCTACAGGGTATGAACACGGTTTTAATTCAAAGATGATCATTACTTCTTTTAGACACGCAACTGTTTATATCTGGTTACCGTACGTGTGTAAACCTGGCAAAGAATCAGCTTGCAAAGATCAAGGTTATGGTGAGTACTGTTTGCATCTTTTTTTCCTGCTTGCTCCCGCTCTACTCTTATCCCCTCGCGTGTCGCACGCGCCTCGCTCGCAATTTTCACTTACCTTCCAGTTTGTGTTGCGAATATACAATGTAGGAAGAAGTTTAAACCATGAAAGCGGCGAAAACGTTGGCAAAGTACATTCGCGTGATTTGTTCTCATTGGCCCTTATTCCATGTCTTTTCCATTTGTCAAATGTTGGTTAATTTTTCTGTTTTCACACTATTTGATAGCTTTTCTTGTTGACACGAAAAGCTATCTGGTTTGGTATGTACAGCAACGGCTCGGACTAGAGTAAGTTATTCACACTTAAAGCATTGTGCCGGGCGCGGTTGGCTGAGAGGGTTTGGTGCACTAAATAGTCCACTTTCGAGTTCCAAAAACCCTCACTTTCAAAATGAGGCTAGGTGCACAACCTTTCTTTTGAAAATGAGTTTTATTTCCATGAGAATGAAAAGGGATTTCCATATCAAAGGCTGAGCACCTACCCTCGTTTTGAAACAGAGGCCCGGGGAACTCGGAAATGGCTTATTCCATCCTCACTCCTAAATATGATAATTACTTCCGTCTTAGTGGGTTCCAGTCCTCGCTCCTACCTATTCACTTCCGCTATACGGTCCAAATACCTGTTCATACTGTAACCGTAGTGTGGCACAGAACTTATCCGATATGGGACGCTCCACTTTAGAGATCGGCGCCGCACAGCTTTGCTCCGTTACAGAAATCGCGCCGAAATTACCGTTGTTATAGGTGATACGTAGCCCTATCCAGTATCTGGTATAGTGTGAACATAGCTATTGCCTTTTGCCGCTGTTGTACCCGCCGCCGTTGGCGTTGCGTAGGCTTCCCAGTAAGACTGTGAAAAAAAATGCACTTTTTATTTGAGTGTCAATGTATTTAGCTCGAAAGTACTAATTGGGGACACTATATTTTACGTCTCCAACTGGAGACGGGACCGCCATTTTACGTGGTCATCCGAGCCACGCGAAGGTCTAGCCTGTTGCAGTGCAAAGGGAGTACCTTCATTTCTCGGTTATTTTAAGACCCTGAGTATTGGTCCGGCCCGAGGAATCGAACCCGCGACCTTCCCGCTCTGCAGTCAACACGCTCTACCGACTGAGCTAATACTGCCGCGGTAAAAACACTCTTACACCTTAGTATCTGAATGTACCCTCACCATTTGTTGTTAAATGGTATTAAGTGTAATATCTCTTGATTTACAGCTAAAGTACACAGATGATCCAGACATCAGTGTAGCAAGTCCAAGCCAACCAGATAGTGCTGAAGAAGAGATTGAACGAGTGGGTAGACTGTTCGCAGCATTAGAAGGGAGACGACAAAGTTTTAAAAGGTAAACATTGCCAAGTAGTCTTCACCCGTAACAGGGTCCGAAATTAACTTTTTTAATATGGGCGCCAACTGGTGAGCAAGTATAAATTTTTGGTCGCCAGAGGGCAAACTATTTTCGCCAAAAATTCCCCTTGGTGGCTTGGAAACGTTCAACTCGTATTGATCGTAGCTGTTGTGGAGGTATATTTACAGGAAGATTCGTTTCCCTTTTAAATTAAAAAAATATCAGCAGGACAAAAAGTAAGACACCTGTTGGCAAAGAGCTTCGAGGTTTCAATTCTTAATCATTTTCTCCAAACATGAAAGTCTACAATAACAACCAGCTTTACAAGTCGCCAGCTGGCGACCAGCTATGAAATTCTGGTCGCCAGGACTGAATTTTTGGTCGCATTGGTAACCAGGAAGGCGCAATTTCGGACCCTGCGTAACAATAAGAGACAAGTAGTGAGCTCATACTTCTTTCACTAGACGTTTTCAGTTGGATTTTTCTTTCCTCAACAACGCATACTGTCATTGGCCATATCGAGGCAATCTCATCGCCAGAGCCTTTGTTTCACTTATCTGTAATGGAATTTTCAATTTAGATTTCAAGGAGGGTCTGAAAAGACGAGTTTCCGCTGAAAGTGTTTGAAAACTCCTTGAATGTTTTGTTCAGATGGGAAATAATGAAGTATTATATTAAAGTAATTGGAAAAACCCAGTTGTTGGTGCTCCTTGAGTCTTATAACTTGATATCAGAGTGTACTGTGCTACTTTAACCTGTGGTGCTACATTTTCATCACGAACCTGCACGCGTCTATGTTGTTCGATAATGAGCTTGAACTACATAAAACAAACTTTAAACCAATGATAAAACCAATATCCTCAACTTGGTCCCTTAGGTCCCGCCTCAAAAACGCAGACTCTTATTCAGTGGAATTGGTTTTAAAGATACGTATTAGCTCTTGCATGCTCTATTTTTGGTGGAGGTCATCCCACTGCGTGAACGAATAACAGTTATCTCCCGGATACTTAATGCTACAGAACCAAAAGTAAGCTTCGGCTACACGTATGTTCTTTTCTCTTTGGCTCGTAATGGTAATTTATACATTGTAATCGTGCGCTTAACTTGAGACTTAACCCAAGTTTAGCAGTTTTCATATATTCTCTCATACGCATTCGCGCTTTAATTGGGCTCTATATTCGTTAAGCCTCGCCCGCCGGAATTTCAATTCATATACCAAGCGAAAAAAATAGAGCCTAATCTCAGGCTATCTTGCGCTATTCGTAGCCTTGTGTATATGCCTTAAATTTTTCTTTGAACAATTTGTTACAGAGCCTAGTACTGCGGATCTAAAGCCCAGCAAAGGCAGCTTGACAAGGGACTTCTTGCTTGCTTGTGCTTCATCCCCTATTGCTCAGCAGCGCCCAGCTGATCTCAGCTTAGATAGAACAGAGGATTGGGTCCAAGCCATTGTGCTAGTTAATGTGAGTATCGGGCTACGTGCAAACGGATGCAACATTGTTGACCCACAATTCCCAACTTTGTTGGATGTTACATGTTGTGTTCGTTTGCACACCCTGTTGCATGTTGTTGGATGTTGTTGCGTGTTGTTGCGCAAAGTTTGAAACGGGTCAAACTTTTCGCCCCGTGCAAACGGACGCAACATTGTTGGCTTACAACTCCCAACATTGTTGGGAGCTGTTGCGCCCGTTTGCACGTAGCCTCAGAGTGTTTTAAAAAAGAATCATGTGGGGTATTTGTTCTTTGTGGAGTTGCCTGCGAATAGAGCCGCCTCCATCGCTGCCGTCGCGAAGGGACCCTGATGGCAGAGCCTTTCTTTGAGTTTCACCAGCTCGATTTTAGCGTAATCGAGAAAGACACTGCACAAATTGAGTAAGATATTTATTGAGCATGTGCAGCCCTCTTGCTGGGAAACCTGGATAGCTGTGCGCTTGGTACATGAACATCGGGCTTAGTTACGAACATCGGCTTATCAATAAACGGATGCTTGTACTCGGAAAACCAGTTTGAGTAGAAAAAAAAAAAAACAAAACAAAATTGACTGGTCCAGGGCCCGGTTCCTGAAAGGCCGATTATCGCTAATCCAGGATTAAAATTTTGTTCACTTTTTGTATTTAACTTCCAACGCACTGCTTAGAGTAACATTTTGTGTTATCATTTCTTTTTTCGAAGTAAAGACACAACAGTATTTTGTAAGCTCGAGTTACAGGTTCTTAGACAGAAAAACCTTGCTTAAAATTTGGCTTAATTCCGGGTTAAACTTAACCATCTTTCGAATTCGAGGAACGAGAGGCCCGTTTCTCGAAAGGCCAGGTAACTTTTCGGGTCCGAAGGCAAATTTTGAAATCAAAACCTGTTTAAAAGTAGCTCAGTTCCTAACGAGGACGAGATGTCAATCCCTTTTTTTCCCGCGTGTTTACATTAGATAACTTGTTCCGGCCACTATGAGAGTAGAATGACGAAGGCTATCGCGTTTTCCCGCCGAAATGATGTTGGTTCACGCCTGCGCACTAGATAGTGTTAAGAAAATCTCGTCCTCGTAGTCGTCCTTGTCTTGTAATTTAAAGGTAATCTCAAGCGGAACGATTCTCAACGACGATTTTTAGCGCAGTACAGCCTTGCAATGTTGGAACAATGTTGCAGCCATTCCAAGCAATGTCGCAACAATGTTGCAATGGGGTGTTACACAAAAAATCGTGGTTGCCAATCGTCCTCCAATCCCGACCCAGTCTCCCTCGAACATCAAAATGGCCTATTAAGCAACATCAAAGCGCCTTGCAATGCTCGCCACTTATCTACACACGCAATAAAACACGTCTGAAATAGCACCAAAAAATCGCCTGTGTAAACGGGGCTTAAAAACTATAGGATTTTACTTTTTGTTATTTTCAGGGAAGAAGGGGCGAGGAGGTTCTGTTGGGACAAAGGAGAGGTTTTGGATCACCTACGTGTAATTTGGATTCCAGAACAAGACATCCTTCAGTCTAGGGCCTCATTGTTTCTATTAACTGTCGACCGTTTATTATGGGATGTCTGATCATCGCAGAAATGTTGTTGAATGAAACAAGTACGTTCAACGCTACGTAAATGGAACTCGCCAGGCACTGCCCTTAATCTGAAAGGAACAAGTTTGTGTTTGAGCATGCATGGTTTAAAAAAATGACATCGTTCTCTTGGCATCTAGACCTTGCTGTTGTTATTCAACGTAGCATCTTCAAACAAACAAAGAGAAATCATTTTTTTAACTGGGATTTACAATTACCAGAAGAGGTTGATTGATCTTCACATCCATCAGTATTGAGCTTGGAGTAGAAGTTGAAGTGACTATTTCTGATGTTTAAAATGGTGCAAGAAAGGATCAACAATCAATGCAAGAACAACTTTACCGTTAACGTGTTTGACGGTCTAATGAAGAATTATTCTAAAGACCCAGGAAAAAAGTAAAATGGTGACGAACCTGACTTTTTTGGACACCTTTCAAGACGGTCGAAGAGATGATCCCAAACATTTATTGACAAAAATTCATAAATACAAATTTTAGCGGTATAAATTAATATAATTTTCGTCCAGTTTTTGTTGGGACATGACGTGAGGAAATTGATTGAAGTTTATTTGAAATACGAGATAGTTTTTAACCTGTTTCAGTCGCTTGAGTTCCTTAGATGAATAAAATTTGACCACCATCGTCGTTAGTAGAAAACCGAAGTTTTGTTATAAATGCAAGATTTTGTTTTCTCCCAAAAATAACCAACACCAATTTTCTCCTAATAAAATCGATATATTATTAAAGGTGATGTTACACGGAACGAGTCGCAACAACGATTTTTAGCGTAACACAGCGTTGCAATGTTGGAACAATGGTTTAACCATTCGAAACAATGTCGCAACAATATTGCAACGCTGTGTGGCGCTAAAAATCGTTGTTGCGAATCGTCTCCTGTAGCATCACCTTTTAAAAAAGGTCATTAGGATTAATAAACTGATCACCAAAAGAAAATGCTTTTAATCTTTTATCAATAAAGGTGATGTTACACGGAACGATTCGCAACTACCATTTTTAGCGCAACACATCGTTGCAATGCTGGAACAATTCAAACAAAGTTGCAACGCTGTGATGTGATGCAAATCGTCTTTGCGAATCGTGTCGTGTAACATCACCTTAACTTTGTAGGAAAATTTATGGAGAAAAGTCTGGAGAATTTATATGTTAATTATTGGGGCTTTGAAGGGTTATTAATTTTTAAAATCCTATCGTAACATCAACGTTACGCGGCGAAAATCAAAGCTGATTTCTAAGCTGATTGCTTAAAATATGACGAAGATCGGTAATGCTATTCTGATTCTTTATAACCCATACAGAGATTCTAGCAACTACATCGGCACGTGATTTTATTAAAAATTGCATGGCACGAACGATGTGAATAAAACGTTTATGGTGTAACTTAGTGGGTACTGAAAGCTAGTTGGCTTGTTTTTGGAATTTCCAAACAAAACGAGAGTTCTTTCGCCTGAAAGAATTCCCTTTGCTTCTGCGCAAAATAGTTTGCGACGCATTGTTCTTTCCCAATTGAAACGCGTGAACTGTAATTGCCATAATCCTTGAATTCTGTGTGCCAGGATTTTGTAGAGATACAGGGCTCAAGGAGCTGGCACTGCAATGTCCTATAAAGAGGTAAACTGTGTATACTGTAATGTGTCATACATGTATTAAAACGAAGCGGAATTACTAAAGCGCGCTTTTGCGATAAGACAGAAGGCATTAAATTCCGGGATGACATTGAACGGTCTGAACTTAAGAAAGCTTTCACCAGTAAGAAACGCTTTGGTCAAAAAATACTTAAGGTTTTTGTCTAATCATTTACTGATACAATCACACAGTGTAAAGGTTAACTAGAGTGGCAAACTTCGACACAAAATCACGTTTTCATATTTTCACCAGGTAGTTTATGGTATTGCCGCCAAAAACGGGTATCACCGAATAACAATATTTTTCGCAAACGCTTTTTATCTGCCAATGTATCTGTAAATTTTCAGCTGGACCGAGCGTCAGAGATTTAAAGAAATCACGACAAGCAAAATTTTGCCTAAATGTACGAGGTACCATAGCCACGAGGACTTTGAATTCCAAAGTTAGGCGGTTTGACGACACTACGGGGCGTGGGACTGCAGTTTAAACTACACTTATGTTAAAAGACATCATATACTGGGTAAAGTTTAGAAAAACTTATGAGGGAACTGTGAATACTCGTGTGATGACAGATGATAATGTTCTTTAGTCCATGATTGAATAGTTATGACTGCTTTGGGTGATCTTTTATAAGGGAACTGTATATCTTTATGTCTAGGCAGTAATCACAAGACGAGGGACGGACGGCCCCTCTTACTTACGGGAAGGGATTTCTTTGCGCACCTATTTTATACTGCTTGCAAAATTATCCCTTGAATGAGTAATGAGGAACTACTTTCAGTGAAGGATAAAAAAACAAAGAACATCTGACGAGCGCTCATCTTACTACTCACAATCAAAAGTAAAAAAGTCTGACTAACAACTACACAAGACTTTTTGCTTGGTTTCTTTCATTTTATTACCTTTATGTTGCCTTATTTTTTCGCTACAAAACCTTGTCAAAACCACAGCTACAAGTCAGAGGATAGAGTGATTTTACTTGAACCGTGAAACAGATAATAACAACTAGTGCAAAATAGCTACAAATAAACAAAAAAAGACAATTTCACGAGTTAAGTAAAATCACTCTAATCAATATGTTGACTAACTATTCATCATGGAGTACTATTTTAGTCACATACGATCAAATCCAATATTCAACTAAACACCCCCTTTATTCCCAGTAGACTTATTTCCGCAAAGTCCTACAAATATAAGCAAAGCATTTGGTATGAGAACTATGAGAGGTTTGGAAAAACGGATCACCTGTTATAGTGTCCATAATGCCCTACTTTCAGTAGACTGTCGAGGTCGATCGCCCAGGTCGAAAGATCGATATCCTGATGTCTTATGGTAAGCGGAAACTGGAAGAGCTTGAGATGTCAGCAAATAGCCCGTAAGTATGACTCGCAAATGCCCTCTCAATTGCCCGTACTTAAAGGAATGGCCCCCAATGGCCCCTTCCCCCCCACCCCCCCGCCCCTAACACACACATCACGGGTAATTTTTACTCTCGAACTCGGCGATCCACGTGGATAAGTATCTAGAAAAAGAGGACTCTTAAAGTTTCGTTTCTTTTTGCAACCAAATGGCAACAAAATGAACGGATGAAAGAAATGTTTTCCTCAAGAGAAACAAGGTCAACAGTCGAAAAGAACAAAAGACAGATGAACTGAAACTCGTTAATTCAAAAAATATCTGCATGGAGCAACCTCCATAAAATATTGTTACAACAGATTGGATGATTCATCCACTATTTCATTTCAATGAATATCAGCACACCTATTAAATACCTTTGCAAATGGTACTTGTATACCACAAAAATTTTAAACAACTTTTTTTAGTTAATTTCAGTCCAGAAACTACCAGATACAAGAATAATTTCTGTTAAATTACATCCCTAGACAACCTTTATATCTTTTTAGCTACTCAACTTAGACCCTTACATCTCCAGGGAGAAATGGGAAAAATAAATTTATTCCTAACGTATAAAACTTGTCTAGCATTTTGAAATTTTTGTTTTTAAACTTGAAACAGCCCATCTCGCACCGCGGCCAGTGGCGCGAGCCAGACACTGTATTGAGCCCAGGCTTTTCTGTTTGCTCTTAAGCGGTGCGTTTGGCCTTATAGGGAATGAAACACTACATCACATCCTTCCCACGACGCCTTACGGTCTCTGTTATACGCGCGACAATAGGGACTATACAAAAGTGTGACGGCACAACAACCGTTAATAGCTTTGTCGTCCGCTGCACAACGAGCGTATATACCTATCTCGCTCGAACGAGGTCCCCTCTTGTCAGCTCCAACATAACTGGAATAATCGCCGATAACAAAAAGACGCAATGTCAGTTGTCAGCGAAGTTTTCACAGGTTTTGTCGTTGTCAAATCGTTAAGTTCCCTCACGGTGCCTGGGAATGAGACAAACCGGACGACGGACAGCAAAACTAACTTGCCAGTCAGGCCAATGAAAAACAGGAGTTTATAACCATAACTGCCAATACATCATTTAATTTTCCACAGCACAGTGAATGAGTTTTAAGTTAGTCCACTTGTTAATTCGTCAGCTTTGAATAGCTTGGTGGAGCGTATTTGCGCCTGAGATATTTCAGAATGTACAGTGGTAAACAGCTGACTAGAGTGATAACAACAACCTTCCACAAAAACCCGAGGATATTAGGAACTTTTGGTCTGAAAAACAAAAAACATGTATATCAAATCAAAAACAAAATCATATAAGTATTTATCGAATGTAATAATGCACCCAATATATATGCGAAAACGACCACAAAGTAACACACTGAAGGGAAATTACATGCACGCAAAACTGCCACTGAGTGAAGGGAGGGCACACACTAACAATGTCTCTGTAAAATTTTATCTAAATCGCCTCTAAAACAGCCGAGACATAAGCGTTTTAAAAGACGTAGCACAAGCAAAAATTTTGCCTTATGAATTTATTCATAGACAGGTGTCCCCCGCGGCCTTAAGATGATAAAAGTAAATCAGAATACATATCGCATAATTTACGGAAACTGACGGTGCTTCAGTCTATAGCGAGGACAGCACTTACCAAAATAACCCTTAAGGACAATAAGGGTTCCAATGTAGATAAGAAGACTAATGACTTCAGCTACTAACATAAGCCAGTGCCACGTATGAATAGTGAGAGCTACCATAATCAGTTCAGTGAGAATCAGAGAAGTGAACGTTATGGATACCACGTGAATGAAGTCCTGATCGAACAGGAGAAGGCCACCGAACATTATGATACCACCTGAAACAAACAACAACGTCAGCTTTTCATTAAAGTGCTACGAAATCATATGTAATATTCTAGTGTGTAACATCAACCAGTTCAGTCCAATGCCCAAGGGCGGATGTAGGGTGACAGAGGTGGACAAGGTGAATTATGGAAGATTTGAAAACTCAATTCCTCCTGCGTCTCATTCTTTCGATAACGACTCACACTGAAAGACTGATACATAAAAAAAAGCTTCCTCAGGGAATGTTCTCGAACGTATGCTAGATGGAGGTAATCGACAATATGGTATAATAAAAGGTGGTTTCCCGGTGATTATTACGACGGAGAGAATTAACCCCTCCTATTAAATTTACCTTGATATATGCTGATCAGGACCCAAATAAAGAAAGTCTTGTATGAAAGTGATCTGCCCTGCAATTTACAAACAGAAGAAACAAGAAATGAAGACTACCAGTAATCTTCCTGACTAAAATCCATGGAAAAACGGCGCAAAGTTTCAATAGGTTCAATTTTATCATTCCATGGTTGAAATTTTACTTTTCTTTTCCTCTCAAACGCATTATCATACGTTAGTACTCTCCAAAACAAGGGGAAAGAAACATTTAAACCGAGAAATATTGAATTTAATTACCGACAACAACTACACTATTAGTTTTATCACCAACCTTCCCTAAATCTTTATACAATTCAGGATAAATTAACGCGATGTCGGACGGAACATCCTCGTCCAATACAAGAGAGAAAACCGGGAGCATTGTGTATGCCGTGCCGTACCTACAGTCAAATGAAGCAAATCAGTATTGTGCAGTTAGTGTTCATACAGGGAACAAAAAATTATTGACCGTTAAAAACGTCCACCTCAGAATGAAAGTAGTCAATTCACGACAATTGACCACGACAAAGAACTTTTAGCATCGTCGTAGAGCAACGGTACCTGGTCATGACATTTGGTAAGTGCAAGAACGAGAAAACTATGGAGTCTCCATCGAATGAAATAACTGTTTGGTTGTCTCAGTTAAAAGGGCTCAAAATGACGGTCGGTCAACGGATATGACCATTTGTCCGGAAAAACTGTCAGTTGGCCGATCATTTTGACCGGTTAAGTAGATAGCTCTCAAATAAATAACTAAAAATTCAATCGCATTTATTCTGGAAGTTACAAAAACAGTTAAATAATTATTTGTCGGAATTGCATGGCTATTATTTTAAAATAAATATATACAATATTTTGACCGGTCAGTAACGAGCCAGAACAGTGACCGAGCTAAAATATGTTTAGCGGGTCAACATGGCCGGCCACAGTCCAAACATGATTTTGAGCCCTGGTTTAAGCTCTTTTACGGAGCAAAAACAATGTAGCTGAGGGTGATGGATTGTGCAATACACTGAATGGGAAAAACAGGGAAACAAATAAAACGGCAACTTACCCGATTAAAAGAATTCCAGAGAAAAGAGAAACTGAAGCAAAATAGAAAACACAAGAAAACACCGCCTGATACAAAAAGAAAACACAGATCAGCAACTCAACAATGACTCAACGGGCGCCAGTCTCTGTGAAGAGACAATATGACTGTCATCAAGACCAATGTCTTTCGAACATCCCCTTACAGCTCCTCATATGTTCTTTCCTTTAGATTTGTTCCCAAAATCCTTCGCTGTTCGTTTCCGGTCTGTTGGTCACGCACGAAGGACGAATATCACCTGCAGCTCGCCAAATTTTCAGCCGCTGTTCAAAGAATTGGTTGAAGCTCAGATCCATTCCAATCACACCCAAATGAACTCTACCTTGTTTTGAAAACTGTTAAGGTAAGCGGTCGGGATCCGCCTCGCCCTCGATTTTTCTTTCTTTTCAGTTGTCATAATGTTTTATCTTTCCAGTATCTTCGTGAGTAAAGGGGGAACTTTGCAGAAAAAAAAATTCCTGAGCTCAACTTGTTGGCCAGGGAGATGTTATCAACCTGCTCGGCGCATAAAATACGGAAGTTCAAATGCAAAACATGCCAGCCTACCTGCATTATGGAAATAATAAGTCCTGTGGATAACAAACTGGCCCAGAGCTGCTGATCTCTTGTAACTGGAAAGAAAATACAAACGGTAACAAAACGAATTTTGTGAGGTGGAAGTTCTTTCCATCAAAACATAGGAAGTGGAGTTGCCACAACTCATCACCACCATCATGGTCATCGTCATTTGTCATCCTTATCATTATCATCATCATTATCATCATCGTTATCAACATCGTCATCGTCATCGTCACCATCCGATTATCATCGTCATCATTATTACGGAGCTTAAACAACGACGACGGCGACGGCTACGAAAACGTCACTTTAAAGTGAAGTCGCGCTGCTTCAAACTTTACCGCGCTTATTCCATTTCGTTTAATTCGTCAAATGTTGGCAAATTTTTGGGTTGATTCTAAAAGGACTGTATCAAAGTTTACGAAAAAAAAAAAGGAAAGTTGTTGTCTCGTGTTCTGTCCTCGACAAAACGTGCAATTAGACACTTTCACGTTGTAGTCGCAACGACGGCAAAAGAAATGCACAAAAAGCGTGACACGTGCAAAGTTGTTGTTTTGCTAATTCAAACCTATTGCGTTATTGCCGTTCTCCTTTTGACGTCGCCGTCTCGTCGTTGCTTAAGCTCCCATTATCAGCATCATCACCTCCATCATCACTAAAATAATCAGCGGCAGAATCGTTATCATCAACACCATCGTCATCGTAGTCATCATTAGAATGAAGCAGGGAGCACTATCGTGATCACAAATCCACCATCTACAATTTAAAAAAATCAAGATTCTAACCTAAACAAAAAAAAATAAATGAACCTGTTTCTTCCGTGCCACATCAATAGCCTTCCAAGATATCTAAACTGTGTGATGGAAAAATCTGCTGCAAGTGACGCTTGTCGACCTTCCTGTAATGACAGAGAGAATAATGCATAAACCATGGATATGGAAAGAAAATCTCTGTTAAACAGCGGTTAATACCAGCGGACTGTGCATTTTGCTACGGTTAGGTGTTGGTTTCCTAAGGTCGCAATTAGCTCACGCAATGTGAAACCTACTCTGGGAAATCAAAATGAGCACGAAGTTTTTATACACTTAGCCGCATTATCCTTCATCCTATACAGCGTTTTTAAAAATAACAGGGATCGTGTTGTTTATATCCATCACCCTATACACGACCAGCGTGACCATCTAGACGCCACATTTTGTGCAGTAAGTCAGCGCAAGACTCGAGGCTGCACTTGGAGAGACTTTACTGTGATTTCACGACTAATAGAAAACTGAGGTTGACTGGCGAACGCGTATGTGGTTTTCGTTCTATCTTCTGCACGATAGCAGAACCTTGGTATAACGAAGTACTCGTTGTAACGAACGATCTTCTTCACTCCAGTTATTGTACATACTATGGAAAAGAACTCCATGTCACAAACCATCGTTACAGCAAACATATTTTGCCAGTCTCTTGGTCCTTCGTTAGTGAGAGGACATTTTCTCTTACCTTTCCTTCAATGCCAACTCCCGCATCAGCTGCTTGAATCATACTGACGTCATTTCCGCCATCACCTAAAATAAAATTAAGACAGAACACCTATCACTGAAGAGAAACTATGGCATGAAAACCGTTTTATTTAGGAGCTCATATTTCACTCAGGCGAAGCGACTTCACGACAACGAGATCAGAGTTAATGCACACGAGGTCTCGCCACGTTGTCAGGGAGTGGGCTGTCGGTGCTGCGTCGAATTGCATCATGGGATTGTTTTGGAGAACTAATTTTCACGCAGTTTCCTGTGCAACGTCGCACTAGAGGCGACAGTGTCCCAAAACAGTCCCATGGTGTAATTCGAAACAACAACGACCCAGTCTCACAAAACACTTGAAAATGGCCAGTCGACTAGAGGCAAATTGCACGATAACGTCATTATACTGCTACGACCATAATCCTTCAGGGTTTTGCCTTCTTGCGCAAGTAAATAAAGGCTATTGTTATTTTAATCTCACTCGGATTACCAAATTTTTGAAAATATCACAGAAAACCGAAATGAATCGTGGTGTTAGTAGTAAAAGGATGCCATCGTGCAATTGGCATATTGTAGAAAGAAAAGACTTCAGAGAAACGTGAATTTGTTCAGCTGCACATCATCCTATAGTATTGGGCAACATACAAATGGCGCCCAAAAAGATACACGATACTCAGTGGTTCATTATCTCACCTATTGCGCAAGTTCTCTTTCCTGTATGTTTCTTTAGAAGAGTCACGATATCCGCCTTCTGTTGCGGTGAACAGCGGCAACACACCACAACAGGGCAGTTACAAGCTAGTTCTATGAACTCTTGTTCGTAATGGCGTAAACAAACCTGGCAGAACAGATTGGAACAGTAATCAGTTGATGAACTACAAAGGTAAAATATCTGAGTTAATCAGAAGTACTCGGATGACGGCCATTTTAGACATACCTCTAATGAATCTCCTTTGATTATCAGAGCGCAGTCATTTTTTCGCCTCAACGAATTGAGCTCTAAATGTGCTTCGGAACGATTGCTTATCTGCCAAGAAATAACAGAGAAGGTGGGTAGATAACTTTCTCTTTGTAATATGAATGCTTTACAAAACACATTGGTAACGAGAATTAAAGACATGATCACACAAGATGAATCTAACTGATACTTCAACAATATCTCCCCACTACCTCTATGGAAAAAGTATAGTGACAACAAATGAGAATCTGAATGTTGATGTTTGGGTTTACACGGTTTAAGGCTTGAACTTGAAGTCGCGATAAAAAATTATTTGCATGAAAATGAAACTTTTTCCCAAAGGAAAATCGTTTTATTGTTTTACTCTTCCAACATGGCTGCGGAAATATGAGACGAAGAACCACAGCCAGAGCAAAAGTTTCACCAAGTTCGGCAAAGATAGATATGAATTCTTATTCCGCAAATACATTCATGAACAAACATTTTTGCTAATTGTATCTAAATAGGACTATTGAGGACTGGCTGAAATATTAAGAACGGTGCTCGTGTTATGTCATCAAAAAAAAAAAAAAGAAATACCTGTTTAAAAGTGTGTATCATTTGATTTCTGGCAATGAGGCGAGAACTCTGTGCAATACAGGTGGCGGTCTCGAGTTTGTCCCCTGTTAACATCCATATCTGAAAGTTAGAAAACAGCCCGTGTAAGGGTTTTCAAAGGCAATGTGTTTGTTCCTTAAATAATCTTGCGATGTCTCACCCTGATTCCGGCATTTCGAAGCATTTCAAGCGTAGGACGAACATCAACCTGTAAGGAAAGTAGCAGCAGTTCATTACAGTCGAAGCTGTATAAATTTGTTTAAAACAACAACAACAACAAACAACAGTTACTTCCTGGAGGCAACGAGCTCTTAGACAATTATGCTTTACCCAAACTTTTCTAAGACTTACGAATCTGACAATAGATTTTAATTAATCTGGAGGTAGTGAAAGTTTGCCGTTGACGATAATTTTCAGCACAACTTGTCAAAGTCTGTAGTTAATCGGCAACAATTAAACAATTAAATGACGAAAGATTGACTTAAATTTGCAAATCTCTTAAGAAGAACGTAAAGTATTTTTACTTTACTGCTACGCGATCTTAAAATGTCATTATTCACAACTGACGAAACAGTTTTTGCGCACAAAATTACCTGAAGTTTGTCTTCAACGCCTGTTAAACACAGCAATTCTAAGTCGTGTTCCAAAGTTCTTTGTACGTCCATAACCTAGAAGATTAAGTAAGATAAAGTTCAAGTAGTCGGTTGACTGGCAAAACAGAAAGAAAAGATACGCAAGACGAGCACAAATCAAAGGAAATGACCCAACCTTATTTGGTCTGTCAGGCAATGTTCAGTTTAGCTTTGTATGCATTGATGCTGTAAAAAGAAATGACACGATCACTATGGCAGTTAATTCAAACACGAAACGGTGGAATGTTATGATTGTAAACACTTGTCTCAGATCAGACAATCGCGACGTCAAGGAAACCGCTTTGTCTGACCAACATCTTAGCGTTGCGTTTGTTGAAAAAATTACGAGACGAAGAGCGTTTGTGTAACCTTGTCTTGCAAGCCATGCTGTCAATCACTTTGCATATTGAAGATTTCGTGGGACTGATAACCCTTAGTCTCTGGGAGCAACTCCAAGACTGCTGTTTACACTCAAGAAGAGACCTACATAGTTCTAGGCTTCCCAAACCTCCTGCAAACGCTCCGAATATTCATATACTACAATAATATGCATGGTATTAAGGATAAACAAACCTCAAAATCCTGTACTGATCTTCCAAGAATTTTTGGCAACAACAATGGTTCTTGAAACCCTTCACGGCCATGTTACTGCACTGAAAAGGCAGGAAATTAAAACAAATTTACACAAACTTGTTGAACTGAAACTGTCGCTATATTCTAAACCTAACTTTGGGCAACATTTCAGCCAAAGACACCGTCCTTAGTATAACATTCGGAAGATTTAGTAAAGACAACGTGGCGACAGTGACAACGGCAAGCGCAGATCTAAAAACCGACTTGACCAGTGACAGAGCGGTAGAATTAGTCCTTATTTGAATGGAAAGAATGAAATGACTCACATTTCTGCCGTGCGCTTTCACGCTGTCAATGGACGTCGCGTTTTCTTTGCTAAGTCTGCCTACTGCATCCTCACTTCAGCAAGTCATTAGACAAAATGCCATTTACACAGCCTCCAGTAGTATACATTCCACTCCTGCAAGTGGTAACCAGGTCACTTAACCCACCCTTCTTGTAAACATCTCTCCCCGCCCCCACCCCACTATAGCCACTCATTACACTGTATGGCATTTGACCCACCCTTCCCTAGAACCATTGTCTTTCCACCTGGTCGTTGTATTGTACACGCCAGTTAATCACCCATCCTGTTACATCCCCCACCACTCCAGCCAGTCATTACACTGTACGACATTGACCCCACCCTTCCCAGAACCGTTCACTTTTCTCCACCCAGTCGTCGTATCACACGCCAGTTAAGTCACTCATCCCTGTTACATCGCCCACCACTCCAGCCAGGCGTTACACTGTATAACATTTGACCCACCCTTCCTTTAGAATTGTTCCTCTCCTCCACCTAGTCGTTATTTTGCTCATGTCATTTAACCCACTACTCCTAGAAATATTACCTCCTCCTCCTCTAGCCATTTATACTGTACAATGCTGCTCATCAAAGTATCAGCGCCCTTCATATAGAATGTTATTTTCGCCAGATGACATATCCTAATAAAAATATATACAGCTGGTTGGAGCCAAGTGGTACAATGGCAATATAAACCATAAACGTTATAATAATGAAGATAAAATAAACTGAGGATTACCTTGCAATTAATCGGCCATAAATAAAGGTAATCAATAAAGATTCAAAATAAAGTCTTTTTTTTCCTTTTATATAGCTGGATCTACGAGGGAAGATAAAAGAATCTTATGTTCTGATTGGCTATCTGAACGATGGACCTATCTGGCTCACTTGGCATTTCCCCGGTTTAGTCTCGCAAAGGAAAAACACCTCTAAACCAAACAATAAATCCTTTATCGACAAAGCTCGATCGGTCAAGATGGTACAAGGATATTGGAATCGTTTTATTTTATTTTTAAGTTTCTGTCTTTTTGTTTTTTTTGCGCTCGCTTTGATGCCAACAACGAACATCACCAGGGATCCAGCCATCTTGACCTCCCGCTTAATCAAAAACGGAGGTTTGTTTTCACGTCGCTTCGATCAGTCGATCAGAAGTTAAACCATAATAGGGAGCTACACAACTTATTGTCTCGTGACTTTTTGTACCAATTTTCCTGAGGCTTGGCGCTACTATACGAATTGGCCATGAGTTCTGGTTGGCTTGTTAGATTGTTGGTGCCATTTTATATTGGTCAGAGAGTGTACTTTGATTTTGGCTTGAGATCACCATATCTAAAAACTAACTTCATGTAGCGATCACTGATGATTCACATTCTATCAAATACATTTTTTGATGGGCCATCTGACAGTCGCTCAAGGTAAAGATCAATGACGACTCACATTTTAAAAAACATCCTTCAGACTAATAGAAAAAGGTTTGTACTAAAGACTACAGAATTGCTTTACCCAGAACAATGATACATTCTCTTGGTCTCTGGGTGAATGGGAAGATCTGTAAAATGCTGAACACGAGTATTTCCCGTGAGTTCTAGGTGCATGGTCGACAGATCTCTATGAACCAATGTCAGTCCCACGCTCTTCGTCCAGGTTACCAAGGCAACCTTAAAAAGAATTGACAAAACGATTAGTCGTGCAGGGAAATATTACTAAAGCTGCGTCGATGGGGTGGGTTTCATCAATTGAGATATTTGCAAAACTAAAGTAGTTCGAATTCTGTAATCCAGGTAAATTTTTGGTTGTGGAATTGGAAATCTGTTGCTCGTTTTACAGAAGCTTATATATTTCAGGAGCCCATGAGGCTCCTGAGTAAATCCACTAAACTAAACGTTTCCTCTTCGTCTCACCTCGTCGTCTATAAATCCACTACACTAAACGTTTCCTCTTCGTCTCACCTGTCCGGACTTGACGCCTGATACGTCACGATCTTTGTCTTCCTTCCTTCCTCACTTCAGCGTCACTTTCATCACTGGTCACGCTATCAATACGTAGCCTTGTAGCTTGGTCACCATTGATATCTTCACTGACAGGCGTCACGTTGTGACATAACGCTAGTGCTTTCACGGCTTGTACTCGCGTTACAACTGTACGACGCACCTGCCAAAAATTCAGAATAATCCCGGCCAGTTGGGGAAAGGCTGTAAAAAAAGGGGAGGGAGGAGGGGAGGAGGGGGGAGGGGTTGAGAAAAGGATATACGATACGTCAAGGCTCTAACACTCAATGCAACTACATTACACATGGAAACAACCTTACAAAATCTGTAAAGATACCTTCCAAGCAAGACAAACATGCAACCGCAACCAAACGTGCCAGGAAGCGTAATAGAGCAGTTTTCATTTAGTGTCGAAAAGTAATTGTTTTTGCACTTTGTACGCGATGCGATTGGCTTAAAAAGATTCGCCACCTTTTCATCCAATCAAGTAAAACCAAAAGCCAATTGTGACGCTTGCATGCATTTTCCCGCGCTTTTGCGTCAGCCACATGTAATTACTTTCAGTTTGATTGGTTCAATGTATTGTCTGTGTCCTAATGTGATTGGCAAATAATTACTTTGGTTTTGTTTTACGACACTCAAAACGAAAACCACTCTAGCAACCTGGAGATTAGGATTGCAGTCGCCTTTTGTTGCCCACAACAAATACAGACCTCAAAATCGTTTGTTAAGAGGTAATCTTAACGAGGTTAATTTTAATACCCAACAAGATTAATGGTAGCTTTATCCGCGAAAAGCAAACTTGTTCCGCCGGCATAAGCCCTGGCGGGAATTTTATTTGCGAATTAAAACATTTGACACACTTGAACACTTTTTGCTTTGATGGCATAACTTTTGTGTTTCATCTCTTAGCTTCTTATTCACAGAGGGCAGGGTAGAAATCACATAATATTGTGACTTTTAAAAAAAACTAAAAAAAGGCTCTTTTCATGTGAATGTTAGCATACGAGCTTTCATCAAATATTCTGAATAAAATACAGAAGGAGACCTCGGAATTGTGAATCGGAGAAGAGATGGTTCTCCAGTATATATTTCTAGCTACTGATATAAACTGCGAAGTTGGCGAGTTCGATTATAGATATTGAATAAACATAATGTGTGTATATGTGGTTGGTGTTTGGCCCAATAAGCGGTATGACATGAGATAGCGTGAAGTCCAAAACGATAATTATCTAAATATGTGTTAGAATTTAAAGAATAAGTAGGATTTTTAAAACAACGATTCTTATTGGTGCAAGATTTCAAATGCAGAGAGCTTTCGCCTTCCAGTGTGAAGAGTTCAAAACGTTCATACAGTTACGAAGGTTGTAGCGAAAGTTAAAACATATGCTTGAAAAAGACGCACCAAAAACAGATTGAACAAAAACTGTGTGCTTTAAACAGCTTAATGTATTGGCGACATGGAATTATTTTGTCCATGCAATAACAGTGCAAAAAAGGACATTGAATATTGTTCACGTAGTAAGAATGACATCCGCTTCCACTGGTCCATGACTCAGAGTATTAAGTGACAGCTCTCGGTCAATGAGGTTGTCAATACTGGAATCATTTGACGAGACAGCATTGAAAATGTCATGTCCGTTTTATCTCTTATCCAAGTGGCAGAGGACAAAAC